CAGCAGCAGCAGCATCTCTCTTGCTGCTGCTGCACCATCTGCTGCTGCCGCCTCAGCTGCTGCTGCTGCTCCCCCTCCACCAGCAGCAGCAGCAGCAGCAGCAGCAGCAGCAGCAGCAGCAACTAGCATGTGATTCCTTTAACACAAATATGAACATAAAGAGTATACCCTCTCGCCTATGGCTCTGCTAGCAGCACAGCTGTCTCCACCGTTTTAGCAATAGCTGCTGCTGCTGCTGCTGCTAGCATGTGATTCCTTTTACGCATATATGAACATATAGAGTATACCCCCTCGCCCATGGCTCTGCTAGCAGCACAGCAGTTTCTACTGTTTTGGCGATTGCTGCTACTGTGTCTCCGAGGTTGCTGCTGTTTATTTCTCTTGTTGTTGCTGCTTCTGCTGCTAAAGGGAATACACAGCTGCTGCTGTTTTTGAAACACATGCTGCTGCTGTATACACCTCCTGCTGCTCCTGCTGCTCCTGCTGCTGCTGCTGCTGCTGCTGCTGCTGCTGCTGATGATGATGATGATGGGGTTGCTGCTGCTGCAGGCGGTGGTGGTGGTGGTTGTTGTTGTGGTGGTGCTGATGCACTTGTTGCGCCTGCTGCTGCTGCTGCTGCAGCTGCTGCTGCTGCTGCTGCTGCTGCTGATGAGGATGAAAGTGCTGCTGGGGCACCAACAGCTGTCCTGCTTGTATTGCCGAAGCCTCCTGCTCCTGCTGCTGCTGCCCCTCCCCCACCGCATGCACCACCAGCACCCCCCCCTCCTGCTGCTGCTGCAGCACCAGCAGCAGCAGCAGCAGCAGGAGCAGCAGCAGCAGGAGCAGCAGGAGAAGGAGGAGGCAACATATAAGAATCATAAAGATAAAAAGCAGCAGCATAAAGGGGGCCCCCCCATATCTTTTGCGGTTTCGATAGAAATGTATTTATAATAAGAGGACAAGAGGGGCCCCCTGCATGCACTTGTTTAATTAATAAAGTAAAACCTGAAATAATTATATTATCTAAAGGTATAATATATCCTGTTTGTGTTTTAGTGATTTGTATTTGTATATAGTGTATTGCTTCTCTGAGGTGAGGGTCACCTCTACAGGGGGGGGGTGTTTCTAGTGAAGAAATAAAACAGAAAATTTCTATATCAATTCTTCTTATAATAATATTTATAGATTGACCGCATGCAGCCCCTTCTTTTATTTCTGCTGCTGCTGCATCTATATAATATATTTGTTGCTGCAATCTATAAAAAAGAGAAGACAGCTCCTTATTATGTGGTTGAATATATGTTAATAAAGAACGGACAAACTGTATACGTTTCTGTTGTATATATCTTGTTGTTTGGGGTTTTATATATTCTTTATTTATTAAACCTAAATATACTACCACACCATCACCACCTTCCTCCTCCTCAGCAGCAGCAGCAGCAGCAGCAGCAGCAGCAGCAGCAGCAGCAGGAGC